CCTGATTCGGGACTTGATCTCAGGACCCCGGGATCATGACCTGAGCCGAAGGCAGACACTTAATGGGCTGAGTCACCCAAGTGCCCCTCAAGTATCCTGTTATTTTGTATTACTGACTTTTTCAGTTGTGACCAAAAAAAAAAAAAAAAAAAAAAAGAGTCTAACTGGCCTCCCCCAAACTGGTAGATAGATGATTGACTGAGGGATCCTAGTGGAAGGCACAATGGCTTAGTAAGTGGATCAAACAGTGGAAATGGGGTAGAATTTCTTTTCATCTGTCAGCTCTGTCCTTTGGGGGGGCAGCTACAGATCTTAGGTCCTTGCAACCATATCACCTCTGACTCCTGGCACTTCATTGTGGTGGGGGGGCCAGAGGCTAATCACTGATCGATGGCTGTGGTCAGGAGGATACCAGGTATGGATGAGTTTGGGCCAGTGTGAAAAGTCCATGTATCTAGATATGTTCCTGAATGTTTGATTCTGTCTCAAAGCCAAATTTTCATGATTAGGGGTTCTGATTCATGGTAAGTTCTTCTAACAGATAGAATACCCTGTATTTTAGTCTTGCTGGTCTTCAATTAGCATTCAGAAACTCTTTTTTTTTGGGCATGAATTTGGCTTTTTGGGGCTTTGTTTTCAGATTCCATGTATAAGTGAGTTCATACAGTGTTTGTCTTTTGCTGTCTGACTTAATTCACGAAGCAGGATGCCCTCGAGATCCACTCATATTGTCAAAAATGGCAGGATTTTCTTTTTTTTATGGTTGAATAATGCTCCCCTTAATATTTTGAAGGCATTATTCAATTGTCATGAAGCTTCCAGTGTTCCTGGGAAGTTATGATGACATCTTGATTCCTTATCCTTTGTTTATGACATTTTTCCTCTCTGGAGGCTTATACTTGTATGAGTCCATTCTACATGGAAAGTCATGTCATTTAGCTCTGGGAAAGCTTTTTTTTTAAAAGTTATTTCTTTTTTTAAAAGATTTTATTTATTTATTTGACAGAGACAGAGTGAGAGAGGGAACACAAGCAGGGGGAGTGGGAAGGGAGAAGCAGGCCACCCGCCTAGTAGGGAACCGAATGCGGGGCTCGATCCCAGGACCTGGAATCATGACCTGAGCCGAAGGCAGATGCTTAACCAACTGAGCCACCCAGTGCCCCTGAATTGTTTCTTTAATAATTTTGTCTCTTATATGTTCTGTTTCTTTTCTTTTGTTTTGTTTTTTGGTCTGTGTTGTTCTTAAAGTCAGGTGCTGCGCCTTCTAAACCAGGCCTCCAGCTGCCTTTCCTCTCCCTGGTTCCCATGTTTTTCTGTTTTTGCTCTATATTCTAGGACATTCTTCTCAACTTGGTTTTCCAACCCTCCACTGATCTTTCACAATTTTGTTTTATATTCCCAAGTTCTCTGTTTCTTGAAGTCATCTCTTACTTAGGATGTCAGTGATGATGATTATTATTTTTTAAAGATTTTTATTTATTTATTTGAGAGCAAGAATGAGAGAGAGAGAGAGAGAGAGCATGAGAGGGAGGAGGGTCAGAGGGAGAAGCAGACTCCCTGCCGAGCAGGGAGCCCGATGCGGGACTCGATCCTGGGACTCCAGGATCATGACCTGAGCCGAAGGCAGTCGCTTAACCAACTGAGCCACCCAGGCGCCTCTGTTTTTTTTTTTAAGATTTTCTTTTCTTTCCTCCATGGCCTTTCTCTTGTCTGGTTTGTCTGTTTTGATCTTATCTCTCACATTGGAAGATTTCTCCAAGTTGTCCATTCATCTTTAAGTGAGGCATTAACAAACTGATGTAGGCTCTGTGTCTATTGGTGGCTACACTATAAGATGATCCTGGGGGTCTGGGGTCATTTATTAGGGGACTCTCAAATGTCAGACTTTTCCCCTTACTTGGCTGGTTTCTCCAGAAAAGAATTCTACTTACTGCCTGGAGTGGGGTGATATAATCCCAGATTCCTGGGTGCTGAATGAAGATAAGGGGTAGAGAGTTTCTGTAGATCAGTACATAGGCTCTTAAGACTTTTGTTGTTGTTTTGTGCCTTATTTTTGTCTTCTGCTGTTCAGGATGGCCCCACATGCAGAGTCTTTCAAGCTCGATTCTCCAGAGTAGGGTTTTCAAAGTCTTTGGTTTCAAAATTCCTCTACATGATCTGAAACATTATGGAGACCTCCAAAGAGTGTTTGTTTATGTTGATTATATCGATTGATATTTACCGTGTAAGAATTTTTTTGTTTTTGTTTTTTTTAATAAAGATTTTTATTTATTTATTTAACAGAGATAGAGAGCACAAGTAGGCAGAGTGGCAGACAGAGGGAGACGGAGAAGCAGGCTCTCCGCCGAGCAGGAAGCCTGATGCGGGGCTTGATCCCAGGACTCCAGGATCATGACCTGAGCTGAAGGCAGCTGCTTAACCGACTGAGCCACCCAGGCACCCTCTGTGTAAGAATTTAAAACAGAAATTTAAAGAGTAGTTATTAATTCATTAAAATAACTATAATAAGCACATTGTGTTTTAATATAAACACATGCTTATGAAAAACAGTTAAAATTTCCAAAACAAGCAAACAATTTAGTGAGAAGGGTAGCATTGTTTTATATTTTTGCATATTGTTTAAGTGCCTAGCTTAAATAGAAGACAGCTGGATTCTCATATCTGCTCTGCATATATTCTCTGGAAAACTGCACTCTTGACTAATGAGAGTAAAAAAGGCAAATAATATTCTGGCATTATTGTAAAGATAGCTTTGACCTTGTAGATGCCCAAAAGTGTCTTGGGGACTCCACACTTTGAGAACTATTCCTCTCCGAAACATACTTCCCTCCTCCTGCTTGGGGGATGGGAATGGGTTGGTGGTCTGTCTGTGCAGGTCGGGGAAAGGACCTGGGGGTCTAAGTGCTCCTTATACAGAGGTTCCCCCAATCCTCCTGTTCCAACCTTCACCCTCATCCCTGCCTTCTGTCCCCACACCTTGGTATCTGGTGTATTTAATTCCTGAGACTTAGTGGGATTCTACAGGATTGATTGCCTTGTTTTTATTTGTGCCCTCCTTTACAAACTCGAAAGTTCCAGCCTTTTCGACTCTGCTAAGTCAATGTGGTGCTTTTAAAAATTTATTTATTTATTTATTTATTTTTTAAGTAATCTCTATAGCTGACATGGGGCTTGAACCTACAACCCTGAGATCAAGAGTCACACGTTCCACCGATGGAGCCAGCCAAGTGCCCCAACATGGTGCTTTTAAAACATGTCTGCAAATACCTTCACATTCCTATCCATGAAAGGTGGTGGTAGTGAGGTCTATGATTTCTCTTCTTGAACATGGGCCAACCTCCATGACTGGTTGACCAGTAGAGTGCAGTGAAACAGTGCGAAGGGTTAGATCAGAAAAGATAGACCTTCTGCTTGGTTCTCTTGAGACACTCATCTTCGGATCTCTGAGTTGCCATGTGAGAAGTCCTGGGCTGCCATGCTCTGAAGAAGCCCAGACCAGATGGACATGTCATATGCAGACATTCCAGCCAACAGCCCAAACTGAGGTCCCCACTGGCAGTCAGTGTTCACCCCCCAGACAGGAGTCACAAAGCCTCCAGATAGTTCCAGACCCCAGTTGTCCAATCACCCCAACTTCTGAGTCTTCCAAGCTGATGCCTCTGACATTATGGTCAAATGACAAGCTGTCCCTGCCATGTCCTTTCTAGATTCCTGACTTCCATAATTGGTGAGCACAAAAAAAAAAAAAAAAAAAAAGATAGTTGTTTTAAGTTGCTAAGTCTTAGGGTAGTTTGTTATCCACCCATAGATAACCAGAGTGGTCAATGACTACTCATTCCTCTGTTCTCCATCTTCTAGAACTTTCTTGTCATCACTTGTCCATTGTCTTCTTATGTTCTGTCCTCTTGTTTGTCTAACCCCTTTATTTTTTAATGTTATTTGGGGGATTTTGGCAGATGGTGAAGAACACCTGTTCAATTTGCAGTGTTTTGTTGGGTGAGTCTTCCAAGTGTTTTTTTATCCCACTGAAGTACATTTCAAGAGTGTTTCCCTTGTAACCATAATCTGGCTGTAAATCAGTATGTCTCTGAGTGGGTATGCCTGTGTACTTACGGAATATATTTATTTGACCTTCTGGAGGAAAAGTTAGAAGAGGAGTGACGACCACATAAGAACAGTATGCTTACTGTCAAACATGCCCACGGTATTCCTCTAAAGCTGAGGTGCTTTAGATAAAACATGGTTCTCTTCACCCTTGGGACTTGAGGATGGTGTATTCTTGAGTTGTTACACAGACAGTTACAGAAATCCTCAAAACCTCTGACAGGAAATGATTAGTCAATAACATTAAAAAAATATTTTATTTATTTATTTGACAGAAAGAGCACAAGCAGGGAGAGTGGCAGGTAGAGGGAGAGGGAGAAGCAGGCTCCCCGCTGAGCAAGGAGCCCAATGCGGGGCTTGATCCCAGGACTCTGGGATCACGACCTGAGCTGAAGGCAGACGCTTAACCGACTGAGCCACCCAGGCACCCCAGTCAATAACATTTTTATACACCAAACTGTGCCTCCTCAAAATTCCTATGTTGAAGCCCGACACCCCCCCGCCCCAGCCCCCCCCGGACTTCAGAATGTGACTGTATTTGGAGACAGGACCTTTAAAGAGATAGTGACCAAGTTAAAATGAGCCCTTTAAGGCGTGCTGTAATCCAATTTGACTGGGGTTCTTAAAAGAAGAGGAAATTGAGACACACAGGGAGATGCCAGGGATGTGTCTGCAGAAGACAGGCCACATCAGGAGGCAGTGAGGTGTGGCCAAGGGGAGAAGCCTCAGGAGAAACCAAACGAGCTGGCCCTTTCATCTTGGACTTCCAGCCCCCAGAACTGTGAGAAAATACGTTTCTGTGGTTTAAACCCTGCCATCTGTAGTATTTTATTACAGGAGCACAGAACAGAATTAGAAACTGATACCAACATTAAGCATTGCTGCTTTCTCTGTAGGTCCCAACACCTGACAGATAATGAAGGACCAAATCAAATCAGATCCGATAGAATGGAATCCAGTGGTGTTTGTCGAGCTCTCTGGGTGGAGCGGTGTGCAGCAGCACCTCCCAAATGGTGCCCAGGGGAAATCAGCATGGAACATTCTGCTGCCCATCCAGGTAGGATTGGGCCAATGGGGCTAATGCATCCTGTGTGATCATGTTTCTTTCCCCCTGTTTAGGAAGAGATGAACATCCACATGGATGCTATAAACAGATGGATTTCACTTTCTCTAGTTAGTATCCAAGGCACTTCCTTAAAATTTTTAATTCCATCAAGATTTTGCTTCTCCAGAGCCAGAGTGTACTCTTGAGGAGCTAGCACTTCTGAATTAAAAGAAGAAGAATGCCACACAGGTGGATCCAGAGTGTGAATAAGCAAAACCCAAGGAAGGAGAAGGGGGAGGATGATCTAAGGAGCCCAGGTCATGTCTCCCACAAGGGCTCTTCCCTCCATCTTGGAGGTTCCACGTACCCATCTTGTACAAGGACCCTCCGCCAAAAGCATCTTCCTGTGACTCCATCTTGTCAGCAAGGTAGACTTTTAGTTGGTCCTCATCCTTGGATCTGATACCACTTTGTGAAGTCTTCTCAGCGCAGCCACCCTACCCCTTCCTCAAGCCTTTTCTCAAAAGGATCAGGCAGTTACTTTCCTCACTGTTGGCATGGGTGTAGTTTTTAAAGACACTGTATATATAAAACATAATTGCATTTTTTCAAACCGAATTTAACATTTAACTTGAGCCCCATTTAGTGAATTCGGAGTTGTCCTGCTTCTTTTTATAGGGAGGGAAAAGCACATCCTATTCTTGGGTCATCGGTCTATATTGGCACGTGACCATCTCAGTCACAATGGCTCCTTCCTGCATGTCTTGGTCATCAGCTTCAATCCTTGCTGGCCTCCACAAAACACGGGCTTTCCCAAATGGACTCAAGAGCAAGTTCTAGAAGATAGTCCTTGCTTCTTCTGTCTGACTCACCTCAAGACTTCTTTAGGTTCTTGGGCTTTCTCTGCTACACGGAGCCTCCACAGGGTCAGGTCAAGGAGGCTTGTGGTGCTCTTCCAAGCCACAGTGGGTCATAAGAACTCAGTGGGGGCTGTCTTAAGTTCCCTCTGCCCCATCACCATGTCAGCTCCACCATGAGTGTGGGTGAATTCTAGGATTTCCCTTAGGAAGCAAAGTTGATTTTGTCTGATCACACATCCCCAAACTCAACAGTGCATCCTTTCAGCTGAAGAGGGCAGAGGTGGTCACCAGGGACACAGTTAATCAGGACCAGTCTCTGGTCCTCTTGCTTCCCTCCCGACTACGCTCATGTAGCTGAGACAGCTCCCATCATGGGTGGGAAATTCTTGCTGCAAGTAGTCATCTATGAGTTTCATATCTGGACTTAGAAGCACCAAAGCCAATAATTTGAATCTTTTGTTCTCTGGACTGCCTGTGACAGTCTCCCTCATGTCCCTCCACTCCCTGAAACAACGGGCACAAATTGTGACTTCTATTTCTGTCAAGTATATTGTGTGTGTAGGTGTGTGTGGCTTGTTTTCCTCATTTTTTGAGGTTTTTATTTTTGGAGATATAGGTGTACTATTTTTGCTCCTTTTCCTGTTTTCTCTCTCTGGCTGACTATAATTCACTGATGACAATGTGAATAGCGGCAAGATGTCCTTGACCATGTAAGTCAGATTCTGAGGCTGGCAGGGCAGGAGATGAAGAGGAGCCTGGATCCCCGATAACTTCCTGGAGCAAAAATCCTTGCCCTGGGCTGCCTACCCCAAGGCAAATAGCCCTAGCCTCGGATCCTCTTTTGTGAGAGAATCCTCCCTTTTTTGTGTTTAAGCTCCTAGTCTTTTGTCTTTAAGTAGAGCTAAACCTACTTCTAACTGATACCTGTCACGCTAATTATTTCAAACTCAAGTCTAAAGTATGGGGTAAACACAAAGGGAAACAGGACCTCATTGGCACTCTCAAGGAGCCCACAAGCCAGGGTGATGGGCAGAAACCTGCACAATTCACACCAGCACAAGGTCAACTTGGAGAAATGAAGAAAGATGTGCAAAATGCCATAGGAGTTTTGAGGTGAAGGACATACAAGTGTAGCATGGAGCAAATAAAGGGGAAGACTCGGCAGAAGATGGGTCTTGATGGAAAAGGAAAGATTGGTTTTGTTTTTTTGTTTTTGGCTGGAGACAGGAAGGGAAGGGTTTTCCAGGTAAAGGGGGATTGCACGGTACCTGTTCCAGAAATGCCCCATTGTCTAGTTTGGCAACATTCCCGTGTGGAGAAGTGCGGGAAGAGATGAGGGTGGAGACCTAGGCTGAGGTTCATCGAATGCCCAAGTAGCAGGGGCAGCCGAAAAAGAGTGATGAGCTTTTCCCTTTTTTCTTCCCACGTTTTTGATGTTCTGCACTCAGCCAAAGCCTACGACTTCCCTGGGAGCAGAGATGTTAACATTCTGAAGGTTAAGATGGAAATGAAAAGCAGTGTTAATATTTAGCTTATGAAATTCAAGAGAATTTAGCAGCAAGACAATGAGCTCAGAAGCCAGGTTTTGTCTTAAAAGGAAGACAACCTTCTGATTTCTTTTATCAGGCAGAGAACAGACGCCAGAGGCCTCATATCATAGGATTCTGCTACAGTGTTTAAAAGATTCCCTGATCCCTTTTAGGGCCTGTCTAGGCCCGGAGGCTTGATGCCCACATAGAAATCATTCAAGAATAAGACAGAACGGAGCTTCCCAACCTGCATGCTGCCGGTGGGTTAGAGGCACCTTCAAACTCTTGGTCTTCAGGAAAACCTGGCATGACTCAAGGTCGCCATGCTCCCTGGCTGGTAGCTTCTGGACATGAATAGTTTTGTCTGGGACTTAAGCAAAATGGAATTGGGCACTCTCCCTGTGCTTGGCCTACGAGATGTCTACACTCGCGCATGGACTTCAGCAGTGAGCCGAGGGGTAGGGTGTGTTGCCGTCCATTGTGGACACACAGTCTTTGATGCTGCTGGGGATTGCTTTTCTTCCAGGGTGAGCTCAGGAGCATGGGGTGCAATCTGAGGGCCTGTGGTCAAGGTTCAGAGGAGGGGGAGGCCTGGCGGAGTGCTGGCAGACCCCTTGAGGCTGTTTTTCCATATATCAGATCCTTTTGTCCTAATGCAACAGAGGCACCCTTTTCTAGTGCCTCAGGTAGCGAAGGAGTGACTGCTCTCACAACGTACGCCCCTCCGGCAAATAACTTTACCATTAGTCTGAGTGCCTGATGTGGGGAAAAGTTTGGTTGGAATTCAAGTGCTTTTGCATTATCATCAAAATTTTAACATACATGTGTCACGAAAGAAAAGAAAATGCTGATAGAGTCTTTAAATGTCATCTCAACTCCTGTAAATTTTGGAGTTTTGGAAAATTCCAAAATTTCATGTTGCTGTAAAATATTGGGTGTAAAAGGGGCACCTGGATGGCTCAGTCGTTAGGCGTCTGCCTTTGGCTCGGGTCATGATCCCAGAGTTCTGGGATCGAGCCCCGCATCGGGTTCCCTGCTCGGCGGGAAGCCTGCTTCTCCCTCTTCCATTCCCCCCTGCTTGTGTTCCCTCTCTCGCTGTCTCTCTCTCTCTGTCAAAATAAATAAATAAAATCTTAAAAAAAAAAAATATTGGGTGTAAAAAAGCATTTTAAATTTATCACCCATTTGTGATAATAGAGTTTCTCTATTATCAACTCTCATCAAGTTTCTCATCCATATCAACTCTCTGGAATTTGAACAGCTCATCATTAAAAACTTGACCAGGAATTGCTTGGGGGCCTATTTTAGGAAAAAAAGCTGATATGCAATTTATTTATTTTTTGTTTCTAGCATTAATTAATTAGTTAACGAATTAATTAATTTACATTCCAGTATAGTTCACATACAGTGTTACATTAGTTTCAGGTGTACAATATAGTGATTCAACACTTCTATACATTTCTCAGGGCTCAGCCTGATAAGTGTGCTCTTAATCCTCATCACCTATCTCACCCATCCCCCACCCACCTCCCCTTCGGTAACTACCAGTGTGTTCTCTATAGTTAAGAATCTGTTTTTTTGTTTGTCTCTTTTTTTCCCTTTGTTTTGTTTCTTAAATTCCATATATGAGTGAAATCATATGGTAATTGTTTTTCCCTGACTGACTTATTTCACTTAGCATAATACTCTCTAGCTCCAACCATGTCATTGCAAATAGCAAGATTTCATTCTTTTTTATGGTTGATTAATATTCCATTATATATATACAGCCCATCTTCTTTATCCATTCAATTACTGATGGACACTTGGATTGTGTCCCTATTTTGGCTATTGTAGATAATGCTGCAATAAACCTAGTGGTGCATATATATATTTGAATTCATGTTCTTGTATTTTTTGGGTAAATACCTAGTAGTGGAGTTACTGGATCGCAGTGTGAGATGGTGTAGGCTTGTAAGCCCCTTGCAGGCCCAGATCATTTGAGGACTGCACTGAGGTTAAGGACGGCCAGGCAGGCCTGGGCCAGGAGGAGAAAATGTTCTCTTCCCCTTATCTCATGTTGCAAGGCCTAAATGCCTGGACCAGCAGAAAGTGGCTCTTGCCTAGCTTAAAGTGTGTCTTTCTAAACAGAAGTGTTCTTTCTAAAGACAAAGAACATGTTGTCTCCAAAGGAAGGATGGCTAAGAGAATTCTTTGTTCTGCAAGTATAAACAGGATGTATTTTGTTCTTATTGAATTTCGTGTATATTTCACTTCACGGATGTTGGCTTGATACTTTAAGTATACATTGTTATGTTTATCTGATCTCTGCGAGTATATAGCTACGTGAGAAATAAACGGCAGTATGCAGTTGCAAGTGCTGCCTTTGCTCTGCATCCCCTGTGTCCTGGTGATTTCGTAGACCCTTACCCAGGGACCCCAACGCACTAGACGTTGACAATTGGCGCCCGAACAGGGACCCTGAAGGACGTACAGGAAGGGTGAGTAACTTAATTAAGTACAGGGTGATGGGACAAGAAACTTCTACTCCTTATGTTCGAATGCTGAAGCATTCACTTGCTGTCTATGGTATCACTGTCGCTTCTAATGATATTGAGCTGTGTTTGAAGGTGGTTCGAGAATGGAATCCTTGGTTTCCAGAGGAGGGAACTTTAGATTTAGATAATTGGCAGCGAGTCCGACATAATGTCGAGAAGGCAATGAGACAGGGAGAAAAAATTCCCGTGCGGTTTTGGTCTATTTGGTCGATTATTTTTACAGTGCTTAAAGCGATGGAGGATGACCGCACGGTCGAAGACTTCCATAAGGAGATGGCTCCTTCTATACAAGACCTCCCTTTAGATACGGATGAGAAAAGGGCGGTAGAGAAAGATACCTTTAAGCTTACTCCATCCCGTGAGCCTAGCGAGTGTGGTAATGAAGAACCAAAACCGAAAGTAAAGTCGGATCCCGAGGTGGAGCGTGTGTGGAAGGTTTTTCAGCAGGTTATGGCTATGACGGAGGAGTCTAAGAAACCCTCTAGGAAGCCCTCTGCTCCGCCTTTGCCGTCTGTACCAGCTCTTTCTTCTAAAAATCCTTTCCTTTCTGCTGCTTTAGCTGAGCTTGATGCGCTAGAGGATAGCGATGATGAGGCTGGCACAGGTAATTCTGTCTTTGCTTTTCCTGTTATTAGGCCTCCCCCGGTCCAGGGAGTGGCACAAGCACCATATTATGAAGGAATAGGTATAGAAGATATTGGTTGCTTGAAAAAGGCAGTGTCTTTATATGGACCTCAATCACATTATGTTAAGGAGCTAGTTAATAGTCTAGCTCGACATTATAACAATTTTTCTCCTGAGGACTGGAGGGTCCTCTGTCGGGCTCTTTTAAAAGAGCCTGAGTATCTGCAGTGGCAGATGTGGTTTTCTGAACTTTGTATGTATGTACATGTGGTAATAGATACATATTGTCAATTTATATGGGCCACAGCACAAAGTGGCGAAACTGCACAACATGTTATCACCCATCTCTTAGAAACTTTTGCTGTGATGGGTTTACCATCTATTATTAAAACAGATAATGGACCTGCATATAGCAGTAAAAAATTTCAAACTTTCTGTAAACAATATGGTATAATGCACAAAACAGGCATTGAGTATAATCCTCAAGGGCAAGCTATTGTAGAACGTGCACATAATACCTTAAAGTTACAAATTAAAAAATTAAAAAGGAGGAAAAAGGATCATATCTTAGCATTCACTCAATCTAATGCGCATTCTATTTTACAACAAGCACTGTTTACATTGAATTTCTTGAATCTTCCACAGGGAGATATCCTGTCCCGAGCAGAAAAACAGTTCATAGAGGGAGAGGTCGCTCCCCCTCCATTAAATGAACATATATGGCTTAAACCGACTGCAGATGCAGAATGGCAACCGGGGCTATTGCTTTGCAGAGGGAAGGGTTATGCTTATGTCTCCACAGAGGATGGACGGACCTGTTCCTGGCTCCCTACGCGATGGATCCGGTCAAGGACCAATTCGAACGGCACCGTATCCCACCAGGCAATGGATGGGGAATCCAGACCAAGATGAACTTCCGTTACAGGCCATGGCACATCTGAATTTGGGAGGACGACGTCACCGTCGGCAGATATTTGCTACTGCTTTGCCGACTTGGGGGCAAATTAAAAAGCTTAGTGGGGAAGGGCAAAAAATCCTGCAGCGAACAGGGAAGGCTTGTACGCCTGAAAATTTATTTTTGGCTATGTGTGCCTTGCTTACTGTATCAGATGCCGCTACGTTGGCCAATTTACTTCTTAAGCAACTTGAGGGACTAGATCCAAAAGGTATTATTCAGAGTTTGGGGCATACTGCTGGAGGAATGGGATTTGTATTGTTGATTGTTATCTTATGCTTTATGCTGTTGCATTTTTGCTATCTAAAACCTTCCCAGAATTCTATGGCCATCCTTTGGAGGGCACTTTTATTAAAACAAAAGAAAAAAGAAGGAATTGAGATGGTGTAGGCTTGTAAGCCCCTTGCAGGCCCAGATCATTTGGGGACTGCACTGAGGTTAAGGACGGCCAGGCAGGCCTGGGCCAGGAGGAGAAAATGTTCTCTTCCCCTTATCTCATGTTGCAAGGCCTAAATGCCTGGACCAGCAGGAAGTGGCTCTTGCCTAGCTTAAAGTGTGTCTTTCTAAACAGAAGTGTTCTTTCTAAAGACAAAGAACATGTTGTCTCCAAAGGAAGGATGGCTAAGAGAATTCTTTATTCTGCAAGCATAAACAGGATGTATTTTGTTCTTATTGCATTTCGTGTATATTTCACTTCACGGATGTTGGCTTGATACTTTAAGTATACATTGTTATGTTTATCTGATCTCTGCGAGTATATAGCTACCTGAGAAATAAACGGCAGTATGCAGTTGCAAGTGCTGCCTTTGCTCTGCATCCCCTGTGTCCTGGTGATTTCGTAGACCCTTACCCAGGGACCCCAACGCACTAGACGTTGACAGCAGTGTAGTTCTATTTTTAATTTTTTGAGGAACCTCCATACTGTTTTCCACAGTGGCTGCACCAGTTTGCATTCCCATCAACAGTGCAAGAGGGTTCCTTTTTCTCTACAGCCTCATCAACACCTGTTGTTTTTTGTGTTGTTGATTTTAACCATTTTGACAGGTGTGACATGACATCTCATTGTGGTTTTGATTTGCATTTCCCTAAGGGTGAGTGATGTTGAGCTGATACACAATTTATGTGCATGGGATCAACCTCAAGTTTTTCTTAAAAGATTAGAAAATATCTTATTTGTGTGTTTTATAAACATTCAAAATTTAGTAACTTTCCTAATACTTGGCCTTTTGTTTATTATAGTTGTATATCATAAAAACAATGTGATACATTTTCCAGAAAGCCACCTGTAGATGTTGCCAGATCTCCTCCAGTTTACTCCAGTGTGCTGACCAAATATCACCCCATTTTGTGTTTGTTATGAGAAAGGATTGGAAGCACTGATGAAGAGGAAGAAAAGCGTGAGGTCCCGCCATCCCCTCCACAGAAGGTGGAGGTCAGGCGTCAAGGATTATAGAATGGTCCAGATGGGTAGGTACCGAGGAGCTAATGGCAGTCTGGGGTGAGAATAGAGAGATTACCATGGGTAGGGCCTTCTACACTGGGGACAAATAGCTGGGACCAAGAGGTGGATGGTCTCACATCACCCCAAAGAGCCAGATGTAGCCAATGACACCTCAGGGGTTCAGTTAATCTTGCCACTTTGCAGCAACAATCAGAGTGGATCCAGAGGAAGGCATGGGGGCCTGAGGACCCCTCCCTGCTGCTATTAGGAGGGGACAATAATATACAGCGGCCATCCTGGGAAAGTGGGAGGTGAGGGAGCAAAATTCGAAGACTGAAAATTTGGTCGAAGAGTCTGTGTCCTCCAAAAGAGGACATGGAAACTCACTGTCCTTTGACTAGACAGAGTATTTCAATGAAATCATTTAAACTGTTTCAAACAAAAATGATTAAAATATTACTAATTGCAAATCTAAATTATCCATGCTACTCAGCTAGGTGGGAGCTTCAGGAGGAAGATCAGGCCCGGCCTTCCAGAAAGAAGAAATTAAGCTTTCTGGCCACGTGTGAAGACAGAGTGAGTAAATGAGTAGCCTACAGCAGCTAAGGAGTCAGACTTCATTTGGTCAGCAATGGAGGGGCCTCCAAGAATTGGTTGGTAGCATCAGCGTCAGCTCTCTGTGTTATAAATCATGTCTTTTCCCTTTTACTCACTTGTACTTTCCAGTTTGTCCAAGCTGGACTCACTGCTCCCAGAACAAGACCCATCTTTGCTCCCCTCAACAACCCAAAGTAAAATCTCTTGTTAATGAAAATTATAAGTTTTCTGGTTAGGAAAGAATCGGGCTGATGAATATGCTCATTGGAGGTTTTTTTTTTTTTTTTTTAAGATTTTATTTATTTAGTTGACAGAGAGAGAGACAGTGAGAGAGGGAACACAAGCAGGGGGAGTGGGAAAGGGAGAAGTAGGCTCTCCACTGAGCAGGGAGCCCAATGAGGGGCTCGATCCCAAGACCCTGGGATCACGACCTGAGCTGAAGGCAGACGCTTAACGACTGAGCCACCCAGCGCCCCTTCTCATTGGAGTTTTTATTTCTGTTCCCACTATCTACCTTTTCTTCCTAAATCCTACAATATCCTAAAATGCGTTAGGTAACAGAATGGTAATGAATCTTCTCCCAGAAAAGTGGCTAGAAGTAGAGACTGTTGAAAAAACTTGTGTTGAGATGTCACCACAACCATCTTCCTGGGTCTGAGGAAAGGATTTTGGAAACGGCATATGATACATTAATTCTGACTTACTGTTTCCCACAAACCTTGGAACAGTTTGGTTTTTTTTTCTGAAATTATTGGATGATTATTTCTAATGTGAAATGTATTCCCATCATCAGAATGCATTGCAACATAGCTGTCATATGTGTCTATTTGCTTGGTTATCCCAGGGATGAAGGCAAATAAACAGGAAAGCAGGAAAATAAATGGGAGGGGACGCCTGGGTGGCTCAGTCGGTCAAGTGTCTGCCTTTGGCTCAGATCATGATTCCAGGGTCCTGGGATTGAGCCCCGCATTGGGGTCCCTGCTCAGCACGGAGTCTGCTTCTCCCTCTGCCTCTGCCCCTCTCTCTCTCAAATGAATAAATTAAAAAAGAAAAAAAGGCAAAATAAATGGGAGGGTAGCCAGCCTTCCTTTTTTTTTAATTTAAGATTTTATTTATTTATTTAATTGACAGAGAGAGATAACACAAGCAAGGGGACTGGGAGAGGGAGAAGCAGGCTTCCCGCGGAGCAAGGAGCCTGATGCGGGACTTGATCCCGGGACCCCAGGATCACGACCTGAGCCAAAGGCAGTTGCTTAACTAACTGAGCCACCCAGGTGCCCTATCGGCCACTCTTTCACTGATGATGTTGGTTCGTCTTGGCTTCTCCCCCGCCCGATGTCACACACTTTTGCTTAGGATCCTGCTCCTCCTCCTTGCTCTGTTCTGTTTCTCCCTGGGATGCTTCTTAACGTGGGCCCTTTCTCTCAGGACACTCACATTTTATCACATATTGTGTGGGAGTCATTCTAGATGTGTTTTGTGCTTTTAAACATGCTTTATTGTTTTCTTTTTTCAAAAAGGAAGGGTCCAGTTAGGATGCTCAAACTGGAATTTTCTACAGAAAAAATGTGAATATTACTCATTTAAAATACATCTTCGCTACCGTTTTTTTTCTTTTTGCTTCCAAATTACACCGTTAGTTTAAATGCTACAAAGAAAAGCTGGTTTATGAAAGGTGAGGAAGTTAGGAGTGAGGGATGCTTAGCTTGTAAATAAAAAACAGCTCCTCAATGTCTTCAGAGTCTTAATTTATTTTTTTAAAGGATTTTATTTATTTATTTGACAGAGAGAGACACAGCGAGAGAGGGAACACAAGCAGGAAGCAGACTCCCCGCTGAGCAGGCAGCCCGATGTGGGGCTTGATACCAGGACCCTGGGATCCTGACCTGAGCCGAAGGCAGACGCTTAATGACTGAGCCACCCAGGCGCCCCCAAAGTCTTAATTTATAAGGTCCTCCTTTGCAGTCTGCCCATCTTACTTGTCTCTTGGGCTTTCTTTATTTTGAGGACACAAAAATGCCATTCTTTTAAGGGAGAGTCCTTGGGTAGCAGCGAGGAGGAACTGGAGAGAAATCCAATATGATCCAAAACTTTCCTTTATTTTGACACCCTTGAAGAAGAAAGGGGTACTATGTCCACTGTTTACATTAATTATGAGCCCCTTTTTTTTTCTCTCTGAAAAAAAGTGAAAACATTAAGGTTTCAGATGGTAATTGTTCCTTGACTCTGGCCACGAGTCTTTGGAGAAATTCTCTCTGGTAAATGCAACTCACTCACATGCAGTGGAAACGATCATCAACAGCTTTCACAAAGAAGCTAAGAGTATGGAGTGATAACTACTCGCCAGGGCATTGGGGGAATTAATCAGAGAGGTTCTGCAAAGTGGTTTGGAGAGGAAAAATGCAATATAAATGCTAAGTAGCCACATATTTTTCTGGGAAGAGGTGGAGTAAATGTAATCAGGGCTCTGCTCAAGCTGAGCAGCCTGATGGCCACCCCCACATTCATATTTAATGTTGATAGAATCACCAGCAAAACTTCCAACAGAGACGCTCTTTCCTCCTACCACAATGTAAATAATTTCCACAGAACTCAGGGCAGTGTAAGCTTCAGAAGGCTCGTGCAGAATTGGGGAAAAAGGCCAGGCGTATCATATTTCTACAGTAGGTGCTCAATAAATATTTGTTGATTTTATTTCATTTTACCCGTAGTTTTTTCGGCCCGCATTCCCTCCCTTACGTGCTTTGGGATGCCCTTAAGAGGATCTTGCCACTAGATGGCGCTCTGTCACCGTGGAAGACCGGCCCCTGGGGTTGGTGGTTGGGGACGAACCTCTCTGATTTTGTAATTCGCCCAGAAGGCAAGAGTTTTAATTCATTTCCTCCTCATTTCACTTGATAAGAAGTCACGACCTTTTTCTTTTTTGAAGGGTGGGTTAGGAAATCCACTGTGTGGTTTTACCACTGCAGAAAGCAAGTTCAATTTTATTTAATTCTCACGTTGAGGGGCAGACTGTCAGGCTGCGCTCTGTCTAGCAGCGCGAGGCGTGTGGCCTTGGTAATGGGCTGTGACCCCCCTCCCGCCGCCAACGCTGTGCCACCCGAGCAGTCGGAAGGTGACTTGAGATTTGGAGAAATGAAGGTGCCTGATCGATTCTAACACTGAGAACGTCTTTCCTTCTCCGAAAGCTAATGACGCTTTAATTTCCACTGGAATAAAAGTACAGTGACCCTTGAGCAACACGGGTTTGCACGGCGCGTCTCACTACAGCCCTGGAAATGTATTTTCTCTTACGATTTTCTTACCATCTTCTTGCCTCTAGCTTGCGTTATTGTAAGAATACAGTAGATGACACATACAATGTGCAAAAAATGTGTTAATCGACTGTGTGATCGGTAAGGCTTCTGGTCACCAGTAGGCTATTCAGAGGTATGTTTTGGGGGGAAGCCAAAATTTCTACGGGAATTCTTGACTGTGTATGGGGTCGGCGCCCCTAACTCCCGCTTAGTTCAAAGGTTGACTGTGTTCATTTTCTCGGAATCCTTGGAAAGTCCCATAACGGGCTAAAACGTTTCTTTGCCCTTTAAAAAGTTTGCAGCCATTCAGACTGTTAATATGATTTTGAAAATAATTGAAGTTAAGCCTTAAGGTCATGTCTAAAAGGAAATTCTAGCAGATGGGATCACTGGCTTCCACCATACCTAGAATTATCTTTGTGGAGACAAAGAATATTCCCCTCAGCCTTCCGTTGTTTATAGGTGTGAGAGGACCTGTTTTAATTTGTTAATTACGTTCTGATCTGTTTGGTGTTTAAAACGGTCAAACGGGGGTTAAGTCCTTTATAGAACCCAGGGAGAGAAGGGGTGAGTCCTCCACCAGGGTAGAGGCCTCTGAACAACTGCATTCATGAGATGAGGTGCACAGTTACCTATAACTATACGTCTTCCTCTCTACATACTCATGCTTTATTATCATATCAAGACAGTCTGGGCTACTCAAAAAGGCAATTGGGAAGGAGAAATTTAAAAAGGAAGCCGAGAAACCTGCTCATGAGGCTAGAGGTAGCTGGATCTGTGAGAAAGAAAGAAGTTTTTTTAAAAAAGATTTTATTTATTTTTTGACAGAGAGAGACACAGCGAGAGAGGGAACACAAGCAGGGGGAGTGGGAGAGGGAGAAGCAGGGAGCCCGACTTTGGGCTCAATCCCGGGACTCTGGGATCATGACCTGAGCCAAAGGCAGATGCCCAACGACTGAGCCACCCAGGTGCCCTTTTCTTTTTTAATTTTTAAAAGATTGTATTTATTTATTTGAGAGAGAGAGAGAACGGGGAAGGAGCAGAGGAGAGGGACACGCAAACTCTGTGCTGAGCCCTACTGGGGCTGATCCCACGACCCCAAGATCACAACCCCAGTGGAAATCAAGAGTCAGACGCCCAACCGACTGAGCCACCCAGGGGCCCTGTGAGAGAAAGAGTTTAGGCATATGTTAACTCCCCAGTTCCTAAACTGTGTGCTATGACAGCCCAGGGCCCTGCAGCAAACTCACAGGGATGCTCTGAAACATTCTGATTTTTGAGAGAAACATCTGTCAGAGACCAAGCAAACTGCTTCCCAGTTGAAATATTAGGTTGCACAGCTTTCCTTCCGGTGACATCGGATTTTTGCAAAGCTGGGTCTTCAGAAGTCGATGGGATAAAAAGCAAGTCTGTATAAAAATCAGTATGGAATAGTTAACTAAGATGGCATTGTCTAATCTGATGCCGATGTTTAAGGAGCGATGCAGTATCCAAGGGACATCTATATATCTTTTGTAAGTAATTTTTGTAAGTAAGGCTTTTTGGATGTTACGACTTAATGAAAAGAGCGGTTAGGTGTTTATTTTGGCATAGGGGTGAAAAACTTACCGAGACACAAAGAGTTCCTCAAACTTAGAAAATTAGGGAACTTCTGAGCTAATGTTTTAAGTGGCTCCCTGATCT